GCCTGCTGTGTTCATCCAGCTCTGCACCTTGTTGTCTCGGATTCTCCAGCATCTGCAGTTCCTACTATCCCTGATGGTACATGTTGTCCACCTACTGGTTGGTATAGGAAGTACAAGTGAACAGTTGTCATTTTTATTTAACCATACAATTCATAGGAGAACTGAGGGCTCTTGCGGCACAGTGGTAACGTCCCTACCTCTAATACAAGTCCCACCTGAACAGGTTGATCAAAGCAACATGATATCAACAAGCAATGTCAATTTCTAAATCTTCTAACGATTCTAGCCCTTGCAGGGTAGAGCTGAACTGATTGAGTGTCTTTGTGGCACAGTTGTAGTGTCTCTACCTCTGAGCCACGAGACCCAGATACAAGTCCTCCCTGCTCCAGAGACATGTAACAACATCGTTGAACATGTTGATTGGAAAATATTGACAATTCATTTGAATTCAAGCAGGTGATTAGAAAATATCTACTTTAATATTGGTATACCAAATGCAGCAGCTAATAGTAAAGCATACAATGTGTACTTCACTGATCAGTAATCAAATCACAAAGGTAGTGATCTCCCATAGGTCTACAGCTTAAATGACAAATTATTGATCAAAAACATATCCATTTTAAAACAAAAATTTACCTGCAGCAATTGCACAGGGTTGTTGACACAAATTCCAATCTGCAAAGTACCTTTAGCTTGCTGTAGTTTTGCTCGTAATTGCTTCAGTTTTGATTTCTCACAGTCAACCATCAGGTTCAGTTGGGCAGTTGCAACTGAAAATCTTTTTTTCCATGCTTGGTCCTCAATGTCAAGAAAAAGCTGGACTTTCCTGAAGAAATTCAAATGTGTCTGTTGCCGTTTTTCTAACTTTTCCTAATTAAAAGAGACATGTAAAATACTTAATGCAAAATATCGTTAACATTGCATTCACCAGATCACATCCAGACCTAGATGACACAAAATTCACCTCTGCATAAAACAGAACCTACAATTTCCAAATGAATTAAATCACTTTGACAGCTCCTCAGGATGTCACAATGGGTTCATAAAAGACAGAATTACAATATTGTTACAAAGAAGGCCATTTGGCCCATCATTTGTGCACAGGTTCTTTAAATAAGCAATTCCTTGAGTACATTTCTCCCCATAACCCTACAAATTTTTCCTTTTCAGTTTACTGTATAAATCCTTTTTCAGTGTTTCAGTTGAACTGACCTCTACCACACACACAGCAAATACATTCAACAGCCCAACAATGTGCTGCATGAAAACGATTTTCCTTGCCTTCTGCTTCTTTTACCAATTACTTTAAATTTCTGCCCTTTTGTTCTGGCAAACTTATTTATTCTGGCAAACTTATTTATTCTGGCAAACTTATTTATTCTTGCACGTTGTTACGATCCCGGACCAGGCAAAGTTTTTTGCTACGATCTGACTAAAAACCACTAACTCTTATTACATACTTTAACAAAATCCTTCAAAAGATCTGGGGGCCACACTAAGAGATCAAAGCCTCAAGATTCCACAGTTTTGAACAAAGATTTCCTATCCAACATCAGAACAGTAACCCAATTTAGACTGCATGTACAGCTAAGTTCAAACACAGAATTAACATGGGGTAGAAATGGTTAACAGACCATGTTCAAACATCTTATAGTGCACATCCAACAGCAAAGGTGATTGACGCAGATCCGTCCCCTGGATTTCTCAGCAATTTTTTTTTTCCTATTCATTTTGTGGGATGTGGGCGTCACTGGCTGGCCAGCATTTCTTGCCCATCCTGAGTTGCCCTTGAGAAGGTGGCGGTGAGCTGCCTTCTTGAACTGCTGCAGTCCTCCTGCTGTGGGTTGACCCACAATGTTATTAGGGAGGGAATTCCAGGATTTTGACCCAGCGACAGTGAAAGAATGGTGATATATTTCCAAGTCAGGATGGTGAATGACTTGGAGGGGAACTTGTAGGTGGTGGTGTTCCCATATATCTGCTGCCCTTGTCCTTCTAGATGGAAGTGGTCGTGGGTTTGGAAAGTGCTGTCTGAGGGTCTTTGGTGAATTTCTGCAGTGCATCTCGTAGATAGTACACACTGCTGCTACTGAGCATCGGTGGTGGAGGGAGTGAATGCTTGTGGATGTAGTGCCGATCAAGCGGGCTGCTTTGTCCTGGATGGTGTCAAGCTTCTTGAGTGTTGTTGGGGCTGCACCCATCCAGGCAAGTGGGGAGTATTCCATCACACTCCTGACCCGTGCCTCACAGAGATGCAAAGGATCATCAAATCTCACTACTCTTCACAAGGGATCACAATTCTTCAGTTCTGGCCTTGAAACTGCCTTTCATGAGGCACTCTGTCACAAACCGTCTCAACTCCTGCCCTGGGCCAATCACTCTCCTTTCCTGGGCATATATAAATATATATATAATATATATATATATGCTCCCCTGGATGCTGAAATTGCACTCACATACTCATTCACAAGTATTTTATCTAAAGTCTAGTATTTTTCTTGAATTTAGTAATTAACTAAATATTACTCTTAACGACATGTTTTATTGCAGCTTTAAAAGTCAGGGAAATGCACGCTTGGAGAAAAGCTTGTTAATTACAGGTTAGCTTAAAGCAGTTATTTGAAGCTTGAGTCAGTTGTTTTCAGGAAGCATAAATATAGGCCTCCCTGGAGGTGCCTTGTCTAAACTAAATGCTGCTTTGGTTATGCAAAGTGCAAAGTGGAGTTTTGGTGAGTGAGAGGGAGTTTCGAGAGAGGGCGGTGCTCCTTTCTTAGAATCATAGAATTTTACAGTAGAAAAGTAGGCCATTCAACCCATCGTGTCTGTACCAGCACCTGAAAGAGCTACTCAGCTAGTCCCATTCTCCAGCCTTAACCCTCTAAATTCATCACTTTCAAATATATATCCAGCTCACTTTTGAAACCTTCTATGGAATTCACCTCCATCACTCTCCCAGGCAGCCCACGTTGTGCAAGCTGCACTCACTCAAGCAAGTGGGGAGTATTCCATCACACTGCTGTTTTCTGCTTTATGGAAGGTGGAGAGGCTATGGGGAGTCAGGAGGGGAGTTACTCACAGCAGTATTCTTAACCCTTGAGCTACTCTTTCTAACCACAAGGACAAGTATTTAAATCAAAGAATCATAGAATTCATACAATGCGGAAGGAGACCATTCAGTCCATCAAGTCCACACTGACCTTCTGAAGACCATCCCATTCAGACCAACCCCACTCCTCGTAACTCTGCATCTCACATAACTAATCTATCTGACCTGCACATCTTTGTGGGCTTGGAGGAGGAAACTGGAGGATGCACAGGAAACCCACACAGGCATAGAGAGAATGTGCAAACTCCACACAAAGAGTCACGAAGGGATTGAACCTAGGTTCCTGAGGCTGTAAGGCAGCAGTGCTAACCACTGAGAGACTGTGCCGCCCCAATGACTGGCTCAGTTCAATTTCCGGTCACTGGTAACCCCAAGATGTTTATAGTCGGGTGTTTGGTGCATGTCAATGGGTGATGGTTAGATTCTCTCTTGTTGGAGATGGCACTTATGTGGTGTTGATGTTATTTCCACCTTGTCAGCCTAAGCCTGGAAATTGATTAGGCCTTGCTGCTTTTGGACATGGGCTGCTTCAGTGTCTGTAGAATCGCAAACAATTCTGAATACTGTGCAATCAGTGAATATCCCCACTTGTGACATTACATACGGAAATGGTCATTGATGAAGCAGTTGAAGATGGTTGAGCCTAGGACACTACCCTGAAGAACTCCTGCACAGATGTCCTGGAGCTGAGATAATTGACTCAAAAACCACAACCATCTTCCTTTCATAGAACCCTACAGTGTGGAAGCAAGCCATTTGGCCCGTCAAGTCCACACTGAACCTCTGAAGAGCATCCCGCCCAGACTTACACCCTTACCCTATAACTCTGTATTTCCCACAGCCAATTGATCTAACGTGCACATCTTTGGATTGTGGGAGGAAACCAGAGCACCCGCAGGAAGCCCACGAAGACACAAGGAGAATGTGCAAACTCCATACAGACAGTCGCCTGAGGCTGGAATTGAACCTGGGTCTCTGGTGCTGTGAGGCAGCAGTGCTAACTGCTCAGCCACCGCGCCATCCCATTGTGCTAGGCGCAATTCCAACTCGTGGAGAGTTTCTCTCTGATTCCCATTGATTCCAGTTTTGCTCGGATCCTTGATGCCACACTTGGTCAAATGCAGCCTTGCTGCCAAAGGCAGTCACTCTCACTTCATCTGTGGAGTTCAGCTCTTTTGTCTGTATTTAGACAAAGGCTGTAATGAGGACAGGAGCTGAGTGGCCCTGGCAGAATCCAAACTGGGAGTGACAGAGCGGTTGTTGCTCAACAAATGCTGCTTGATAATGTTGGTGATTACCCCTTCCATCATTTTACTGATGATCAACAGTAAGCTGATGGTCAGTAAATGGCTGCTTTTTCTGCTTTTTGTGTACAGGGTATACCTGGACAATTTTCCAAATTGTCAGGTACATGCCAGTGTTGCACTGCAACAGCTTGGCTAGGGGCACAGCAAGTTTTGGAGCACAAGTCTCCAGTACTTTTGCTGAAATGTTATCAGAGTCCATAGCCTTTGCCTTTCTAGTGCTATCAGCTATTTCTTGGTAATACGTGGACTGAATCGAATTAGCTGAAGACTAGTATCCGTGATGCCGGGAGGAGGCTAAAATGGATCATCCACTCGACACTTCTGGCTGAAGATTGTTGCGATTGCTTCAGTCTTATCTGTTGCACTGATGTGTTAGGTTCCCTGTCACTAGCAATACAGATACTTGTGGAGCCTCTGGCTCCAGTAAGTTGTTTCATTGCCCATTCATAACTGGATATGGCAGGACTGCAGAGCTTAGATCTGACTTACTGGTTGTAGGATCACTTAGGTCTATGTATCATTTGCAGTGTGGCACACAAGCAGTCTTCTTTTACAGCTTCGCCTCAGTTTTAGGTACGCCTGGTGCTGCTGCTAGCATATCTCTTGTCGTGCCTTCTACAATGATTCAGGACTGATCCCCTGGCTTGACAGCACTGGTACAGTGGGACATATTGCCGGGCCAAGAGGTTGCACGTCATGGTTGAATATAATTCTGCTGCTGTCAATGGCACACATCATCTCACGGATGCACAGTCTTGAATTGTTAGATCTGTTCAAGATCTATCCCATTCGGCGCTCCACATAACACGATTGTAGGGTATGCCCAAGGCAAAGATGGGACTGTCTCCGCAAAGACGATGCAGTGGTTACTCCTATTGATACTGTCATAGACAAATGCATCTGCGACAGGTAGATCGGTGAGGGTGAAATCAAGTACATTCTTCCCTCTTGTTGTTTCATACCTGCTGCAGGCCCAGACCAACTTCTACATCCTTTAGGGCTCATCCACAATTGCAATTGTATTGTTTTATTTAGAACGGAGGAGGCTGATGGGTAATAACCGAGTTATACAATGCACTTGCCGGAGACTGAAGAACTGAGAGGTTCAAGGGGAGTGACAAAAATTACTACATACAATAACTTTACAGAGAGAAATGTGATAACTGTGCTGGAAAAGCAAGGAGCTAAAAGGTAACAATTTCTAAACGCCTTGCACAAGAAGTTGCAAAATTGTTAACTCTGTCCTTCCATATCCAGCCCCATACCTTCTGGGCAGAGGCAGCTTCCTCCAACTGGCAAAGACCATTTTCCACAGCAGCCAGATTTTGGTCAACTTTGGACAGTTTATATTTGCAGTCATTCTGGAGAATAGTAAACATTGATAGCATTAAAAACAGTCACCAAATGAACACAATACTAAACATTCTAGAACTTATATAATATTAATTTACCCAACAATTTAGACAAGATGGTACATTATCAAAAGTGAAAATTTGCAATGTAAACTAAACATGAAATATGTTTGGTTATTTGGTGATACAGGACATGAATATCGAATCTCCACAGTACAAAAAGAGGGCATTTCAGTCTGCACCGACCCTCTGAAGAGCATCCTACCCAAACACACCCACCTACCCTATCCCCATAACCCCTCATTTACCATGGTTAATTCACCCAGTCTGCACATCCTGTACACCACAGGGCAATTTAGCATGGAAAATCCACCTAGCTTGCACATCTTTGGTCTGTGGGAGGAAACCGGCAGAGACCCACACAGACATGGGGAGATTGTGCCAACTCAACACAGTCACCCAATGCTAGGATCAAACCCAGATCCCTGGCACTGTAAGGCAATAGTGCTAGCCACAGAGCCACCTAAATATTGCTGTGAAAACACATTCTGCTGAAACTCTTTGTCTTGCACTTAAGACAATTGAGTCCATCATAGCACTATGTATAAGCTATCCACTTAGTTTAAAATTCCTGTAATTTGTTTTTTTTCTCTTCAATATTCTAGCTCCATTTTGAAAGTCACTGTTGAGTCTACTTCCACCATTCTTTCAGGTATCTCACAGTGCAAGAAGTATTCTCATCATCTGGATCTTTTGCAAATTCTTCAGATTTACATCGCGCCTGGTTCTCTCGCCACTAGGAAGTTTCTCTTTATTTACTCCATCAAGAAACCCTACAATTGTGAACATTAAGCTTTTAATTAAGCTTTCTGTGCTATGAGTACAGTCCAAGGAGCCCAAGGCACTCCTTGTTATTAAACTAATTGATAACATAAAAGCAAAATACAGAAATTCTGAAATAAAAACAGAAAATGCTGGAAATGTGCAGGTGTGGCAGCATTGGAGAAACAGAAAACTCTATTCCTGTGTCCACATGTTCAGAAATCACATGACACCAGGTTATAGTCCAAAAGGTTTATTTGAAATCACAAACTTTTGGAGTGCTGTTCCTTCGTCAACTGATGAAGCAGCAGCGCCACAGAAGCATGTGATTTCAAATAAACCTGCTGGATTATAACTTGGTGCCATGTGATTTCTGACCATGCCCACCCCAGTCCAGCACCAGAACCTCCACATCATTTGTCCACATGATGAAACAATCTCTCTGTATCTATGCTATGATGCTCTGAAGAATTTTATATCTATCAGCAAGGTCTCTTCTAATTCTTCTTAACTCCAATGAGTATAAGCCCAACTCACTTCACCTTTTCTCTGAAGAAAATTCCTTCATACCTGGAAACAATGAGTTAACCTTCTCTGGATCGCCCCCAATGCCAATATATCTTTTCTTAGGTGAGGGGACCTAACTGTCTTATAGTATTCCAAAGTATGCCTTGTGTAGTTTTAGGAAGACCCTCACTCTTCCGGCCAACAGTCCTTTTGCCTTCCCTATTACCTGCTGAGCCTATAAATTAGTTTTTTTTTGCAGTTCATGCATAAGTACCCCCTATTCCTGAAATGGTTGGAGAAACTCAGCAGGTCTGGCATTATCTGTGGAGAGCAAACAGAGTTATATTTTTATTTCAAAATTATACTTTATTCATAAAAAAAACTCTTTTTATATGTACATTGTCACAAAAGCAGTTTGGTTCTGCACAGTTGCATATCAAGCAAACAAACAAAACATTCGACTTTGACTCTATCCAAAAAACTAAAGACCTCTCTTACACATGCAATATTAATACTTACATATATTTGAGGCACTAAGAGGGTTCGATAACTGACAGAGCCCCATTTACATTCACAATGAAGACCTCAGACTGTGGTCTTTCCCCACTGTGCTTTGGCAGCAGCTGCCCAAAGATTTAGTGGGTCCGTCAGCACTTAACTTGGAATGTGCCAGTCTGCAACACTCAGTTGGGGTCAACTTGTTGTACTGGAAGACCAACAATTTCAGGCAGACCAAAGAAGGTCTTTCACTGAGTTGATGGTCTTCCAGGTGCAGTTGACATTTGTGTCGATGTGCGTCCCGGGGAACAGACCATAGAGTGCAGAGTCCCACATCACGGAGCTGCTTGGGACGAACCTCGATACAAACCTTGCATCTTCCTCCAGACTTCCTTTGCAAAGGCACATTCTAGGAGGAGGTGTGTAACAGTCACAACACCCCCACAGCCACTTTGAGGGCAGCGGCGGTGGTGCAGACCGACCGGGTGTACATAAAGGATCTCACATTGTAGTGCCCTTCTCACCACCAACCAAGCAACGTCTTGGAGCTTGTTCGAAAGTTCTGGTGATGAGGCATTCTGCCAAATGACTTTGACAGTCTGATGAGGGAACCACGCGACAGGATCCACCCTCTCCTTTGCCCACAGGGTCTAGAGGATGCTGTGTGCTGACCACTTCCTGACAGACTGGAGGTCAAAGCTGTTTTTCTTTGCAAATTTCTCGACGAAGGACAGGTGATACGGAACGGTCCAACTACTTGGAGAAAATAGAGTTAATGTTTGAAGTCCAGTGATCCTTCTTCATTTAGACCTGGTTTAGTAAGACTGTGCGACTTTACCTTTACTTATTCCAGTCAATTGGAGGTCAGACCAAGTAACGTCCCTCAAATGACACCAACAAAACAAAGGGGATTTTAATGACAATCAATCGTAATTTCATAGTCACCTTTACAAAGACTCGTTTTATATTCCAGGTTTATTAATTGAATTTAAATTACAATACAGTATTATACTGGGCACCTGAATTATCTGAGCCTAGGTACATGGCCAATACACCACCATCTCTCCCATGCTGGTAGCATATTGAATAAAGCTTCAGATAGAGAAGGCATCTTTCCAACAACATGAGTTTCATACCCACATGTTGCGAATCAAATGGTGGGGAGGGGACTTGACTGTAAAAAACATTATTGGCCAAACTGTATCCAGTTATATCCCAGAATCCCTTGCCTGAGTGGGTGGCAGAACCAGATTCAGTAGAAAGCTTGGAAACAGATTTTACATAAATTGTTGAGAAGGAGAAAAAGGACAGGGAGCTGAGTCCTAGCAAGAGAGCTGGCACAAACCCCAATGGGTAAAAACCAAAAGAACTGTGAATGCTGTAAATGAGAAAAATTTGGTTCTGAGGAAAAATTACTCAACCCAAAATGTTAACTCTGCACAGACGCTGCCAGACCTGCTGAGCTATTTCAGCAGTTTCTGCTTTTTGTTTCAAATGGGATGAGTGACCTCTTCGAAAACATCCTTTATTATCTTTTGACAAAAAATAGAAATTGCTGGAAAAGCTCAGCAGGTCTGGCAGCATCTGTGGAGAGAAATCAGTGTTAATGTTTCAGGTTGAGTGACCCTTCCTGAGAACAATATCCTCCCTTTTACAGCATCCACATTTCTTTTGGTTTCCTTTATCACCCTTACTCGCTCTGGGTGTGATCCCCGACCCTGGGGCAACACGAGTAACTCTTTACCCAGCACTGAAATAACCCAGTCAGCTACCCAGTTCTGAGGGTAATTACGGATGTGAGCTAACACTGTGGAGATGGAGGAACACAGGAGAGCAGCAGGAAAGCGGACATTTCGGGTTGGGACCCTTCTTTAGACCCAAAACGTCAACTTTCCTGCTCCTCTGATGCTGCCTGGCCTGCTGTGCTCCTCTCTTGACTCCAGCATCTGCAGTCTTTACTATCTCTGGGGGCTAACAGTGATGCTCATGCAAGACCACATTGAAAGCTCATCACTCACCTTGAAAATAGAGGCAGCGTCAGTCAGTTTGAGCACCTGGTGGTCCAGGTGAGATGCCTCGCCTGGTAACATGCAGTAGGCACACAGAGGGCATTTGTCGGTCTGGCAGTACAGCTCCAGTTCTTTGCCATGCTGTTTGCACAGGCGGCTGCTGTGGCAGGTCGGCCTGACCAGGACGTGGTGGCGGAAAGCCGGGTTCTCCTGGTGGGGCAGGAGGTGCAAGGCACAGAAAGACTCCCCACAGCTGACACAGGTCTTGGCGGCCGAGGCTCTCTTCAGGCCCTTGCACAGATCGCAGCTGGGAGTGCTAGCCGAGGCCTCCCCCCGCTGCCACAGCCTCTCGGTGATGTTGTGCAGAGCCACATTCCGCCTCAGCTCCAGGCTCATGTCACAGCTCGCCAGGCACAGGGGGCACGCATAGCTGGGCACCGCCCGGGACGAGCTGGCACTGCCCCCATCTGACGCCGACGCCGAGCGCTTGAGTTGCGCCACGCAGCCGCTGCAGAAGTTGTGGCCGCACGGCAGAGTGACCGGATCCACAAAGATATCCTGGCAAACAGCACAAACCAGCTCCTCATCCAGGGCTTCCATTGCTAGCAGTCTCCTCCCCGCCTTCAATAAAAACTCAGCACCAGCTTCTGGGGGAAGAGAAGCAGAGTTACTGTTTCCAGTCGCACTCTCCCGGATACAATGTATCTCCGGAAAGTGGGTATCCACTCAGACAGGCTCTCACAAACTATATACAGCGACTAGCTCCGCATCCGAGTCTGATTTTAGGAATTGTGTGACTCCGGCAGCTCGGATTTAGGGACAGACCCGGATCCACGCTGATTGGTGCCCCCTGTAGATCCTGATCTCTTCCGGTCTCAGCCCGCTCCACTTGATCCTCGTCGGCTCCCGCTCCATCTGCTCCTGATTCTACCTGTTCCCGATCCAGACAAGGATCTACTCCCACTGCTCCCATTCCACCTGCTCCAGGTCCCGATCAGGATCTGCTCCCACTCCACCTGTTCCCGATCCAGACCAGGATCTTCTCCCACTGCTCCCACTCCTGATCCAGATTGGATCTGCTCCTGCTGCTTCCATTCCACCTGCTCCTTAGCTATACCTGGATCTGCTTCCACTCCACTTGATCCATACCTGAATCTGCTCCCTCTGATTCCAATTCACCTCCCCCTGATCCTGACCTGGATCTGCTCCTGCTGATCCCAATCCACCTGAGCCTGGTCCCGACCTGGATCTGCTCCCACTCCACTTGCTGCTGGTCCCGATCTGGAACTGGGTTCGCTCCAATGCTCCTGCTCCTGATTTCCCTCCAGGACACCTTGGTCCACTCCTCCTTCACTCCCAACATCCACCTCCGCCCCCACCCCCACCCCCCCCCTCCATAGCCCCATGGCACTTTCCCCTGCAATCACAGAATCTGAAGAAGGGTCTAGGCCCGAAACGTCAGCCTTCCTGCTCCTCTGATGCTGCTTGGCCTGCTGTGTTCATCCAGCTCTACACCTTGTTATCTCAGGAGTGTAACACCTGCCCATTTACCTCCTCCCTCCCCAGAATCCAAGGGCCCAAACTGACCTTCCAGGTGAAACAACACTTCACCTGCACTTCCCACAATCTAGTCTACTGCATTCGCTGCTCACAATGTGGTCTCCTCTACATTGGGGAAACGAAGCGTAGATTGGATGACCGCTTCGCAGAACATCTACGTTCTGTCTGCAAAAAAAAAAGACCCTGAGCTTCCACTCACCTGCCACTTCAAAACATCACCTTGTTCCCTGGCTCACATCTCTGGCTTGGGCTTGCTGCAGTGCTCCAGCAAAGCTCAGTGCAAGCTGGTGAACAGCACCTCATTTTCCATATTCTATCGAGTTCAACAATTTTAGGGCTTGAGGCTCCTTCTCCTATGTCCTTTCCCAAGTCCTACTCACCAGGCCTTGTAATCACATGGCCTACTGTTACACAGTACCCATCGTTAGCCGCTAACTGTGTCCATTACCAGTTATTCACTCTCCTAGCCCCATCGTTATCCACTGCGTTGTCTGTCCAACTGTTCTCTCTCTTTGGGCTGTATCTCTACCTATCGTTTATTCCTTCCCCCACCCTCCACATGCATAAAAAAACCCTTTTCCGAGCTTTCTGAAGAAGGATCTCGACCCGAAACGTCAACTTTCCTGCTCCTCTGATGCTGCCTGGTCGCTGTTTTCCTCCAGCGCCACACTGGGTTATCTCGTTTCCCCAGTTCTGAGGAACGGTCACGATCCTAAACGTTAACTCTGACTTCTCCCCACAGATGCTGCTAGACCTGCTGAGCTTTTCCAGCAGCTTCTGTTTTTGTTTTAGATCTGACCCCACTGTTCCTATTAAAAAAAAACTGAAAGAACTGCGATGCTGTAAATCAGAAACAAAAACAAGAAATTGCTGGAAAAGCTCAGCAGGTCTGGCAACATCTGTGTAGTGAAATCAAGAGATAATGTTTCGGGTCCGGTGACACTTCCTCAGCACAGCTGTGAAACAGCCCTGAGGAAGGGTCACCGGAGCCGAAACGTTAACTCTGATTTCTCTGCACAAATGCTGCCAGACCTGCTGAGCTTTTCCAGCAATTTCTGTTTTTGTTCCCCCTGCTCCTGTTCCTAGGCTGCATTTCCTCCCTCTGCCCCCCTAGTCCGGATCCCCCACTCATTCTTCCTGCTCTGCTCCCATTCCACCTGTTCCTGGTCCGCTCCCCGATGCTCCTACTCCGGATCGAGTCCGCTCCCGGTCCGGATCCTGTCCCGCTGCTCCCGGTCTCGGTCCGGATCCTCTCCCGCTGTTCCCGGTCCCGGTCCGGATCCTCTCCCGCTGCTCCCGGTCCCGATCCTCTCCCGCTGTTCCCGCTCCCGGTCCGGATCCTCTCCCGCTGCTCCCGGTCCCGTTCCCGCTGCTCCCGCTCGGGAAGAGGCAGAGCTGCCGCCAATGGCGGAAAACCAGTTCCCCCAAAATGTGAAAGGAGCCAATCAGCAGCGGGCCCTGACGCCCAGCAACAGCTGCTAGAGACGCGGCTTGGCCCCAGCTCCGGAGGGTGATCGTGCCCGGGGCATGGGGGTGGGGGGCATTGGCAGTTGAATGTGACCGGAACAAGGTCGGCGGTGAGCTGGACCCCTCTTCCCAAACATGTCTGCATTTATCTAGCAGCTGGAGAGAGAGAGGTACGTCAGATTTAACGTCTGTTTGATAAAGGGACACATGCCTGGCCTATCAGTGAAGCTGAGCCTGAGTGAAAGGAAACACACAGTTAGTGGTGAACGGTTAATTCTGCTAATGGGGTGCGGGGTAGTCTGGGCCACGGCTTACTTCCTTTTCATGATCTTACGAAGTACAGGTGAAGGTACCCGACCATGGGGCTGCTCGCTGTCTCAAAAGAGAATATATGACGAATGTGGTTTACTCTGAGGGGCACCACACCTTTCAGGGAAAGGGGAGAGAGATTGAGAAGGACAGTCCTTCATTGCAACCTTAGCAGGTGCAGGGAATGGAACCCACACCGTTAGCATCGCAAACCAGCTCCATATCCAGTTGAGCTAACCACCCCCTCCCTATACGGGTACCAGAAAACTTGGATGTGGAAGTGTGAGGATGCTTGTGATCAGCTTGAAGATGACAGGCAGTTTGTTGGAATGGGGGAATATGTGGCTGTTCAGAATTAGGGGAGACAAGTGTGAAGGGGTTGGGGGGGAGCGGTGAAGAGATACATTTGGGAGCAGAAATAAGAAAAAAGGGAATATAAAGTAAATGATTATGTTGCAAATTGTGTTGAGGGACCTAGGCATCTATGCATAACTTATTGAAGATGGCAGGAAGCAATTAACTTTTTTTTAAAAGAGTCATAGAGATGTACAGTATGGAAACAGACCGTTTGGTCCAACTTGTCCATGCTCACAAGATATACTAAATTAATATAATCCCATTTGCCAGCATTTGGTCTGTACCCCTTGAAACCCTGCCTCGTCATATACCCATCTTGATGCCTTTTAAATCTTGTAATTGTACCAGCCTCCAACACCTCCTCTGGCAGTTCATTCCATTTACACATCACCCTCTGTGTGAAAAGTTACCCCTTAGGTCCCTTTTAAATCTTTCTCCTCTCACCATAAACCTGTGCTGTCTAGTTTGCCCTACCCTGTCTATTCACTATATATATGCCCCTCATGATTTTATAAACTAATTGAGGCATAATGTGTGTAGTGCTAAGTCTCTATGAAACTGGTTTGGTCTCAATTGGAGACAACAAGGTGCAGAGTTGGATGAACACAGCGGGCCAAGCAGCATCACAGGAGCAGGAAAGCTAGGTCTAGGCCCGAAACGTTAGCCTTTCTGCTCCTGTGATGCTGCTTGGTCTGCTGTGTTCATCCAGCTCTGGTCCTTGTTGTCTCGGATTCTGCAGCATCTGCAGTTCCTACTATCTCTGGTCTCAATTGAAGTCTTGTTCCCAATTCTGGCTGTTAGACTTTAGAAAGTATTGGAGGGGATGCAGGAAAGATGTAACAGAATAGGGTGCGAGTGGGACTGTCTTCAGTTCACTGCATAAAGTGAAGGAGATAGGTTTGTTCTCCTTAGAGACATTTTGGAGGAGATTTGATAGAGATGTTTAGAATTATGAAGGGTCAGACCTTGGACAAGGGTCATGATCCAATATAAGGTGATTGGTCAAAGAACTAAAGTAGTTAGAGTCTGGAATGGAAGATTAAACCAGTCTCCATCACAGTAATGGTTTTTCAAAAAGGAATTCAAAAAGAAAAATGAATTTGAAAAGATAAAATAATTGTAGGACTGCAGTTTGAGTGCAATCAACTGGCATTTTCTTGCAGAGAGAAATAGAACAGACCTGATAGTCTGAATGACCTCCTGTGCTGTATCTGTTCAGTGATTCTATATCTTATTCATGTGAGCAACTGCAAGATCTATTTCCACTTTGAAGGCAAGATAAAAATAATGTAACAATTTAGCTCAAATTGGCGTGCATATATTGCATTTGATGAGAATCCCAATAACACCAAGACCTAATGTGTCCACATAAAGAATGAATTCCTGTACCTTTAATGACCTTGCAATATCCCAAACCACTTTCCAGCCAGTTATTTTTTAACTGTAATCATTGTTCTCCTGTGGGAGGTGTTGCAGCCAATTTAGATAGATCATACGGCGAACACTTCATCATGCTTACAATCCTTCTCTGGATCCCCTCCAACTCCAGCACGTCTTTCCTTAGGTACGGGGCCCAAAGAGTCTCAAAACACAAGATGATTCTGTTTCTAATCATAACTTTGCTTCAAGGTATAAACAAGAATTCTGGATAAATATCTTGCCTTGGATGTAGTCTTAGGCTTGGTTGCCATGGGAAAATTCGAACAGAAACCTGTTGCAGTGTGACCTGAAACCACTAATGTTAATGAAAATTTGTAATTAGTCCAAAATGTTTAGGTAATCTGTATTTGTTTTGAAAATATTTGGAAAGGATCTTCATGAGTGTGTATCATTTAGATAGTCAGAAATACTGGTCCATATGATTTGGAAGCTGTATCATCAAGTTGGTTAAAGTATGGATGCTGTGTGGCAGATAGAAAGGCAGAGATTGGAGAGAGCTGGTCAGCAGGCTGTGTTGGAAAGTGGGATTCTCAAGTGGTGAGAAAACACATTTAGAACTGCAGTTTCTGTTTCTTGTCACCTCTGACAGAGTGAATGCCTAGAATTTGCCATAGTGTGCAAAGATGGAGGCAGATTTCTACCAGCACAGCTAGCTGGAGCTGAGAATTGAGAAGATTCCAGAGAGAAGTGCATCATAAAGAGAACATTTCCAGGGAGTATTCCTGTTTATACAGAAGCTGATGCCTGTGAAGAATCCAAATCCTTGTAGGATAAGGACTGGAATTGTCCTTGGAAGAACTGTGTAGTTAAAACTGGAGTGGACTGCCTGTGATAGTCTCTGTATGTCCTATTTTGTGTGTAATTTATAGTTTGTACTAATCGTGACCTGTCTATTACTTTGTTTAAGAACCGAAAGAACTGCGGATGCTGTAAATCAGGAACAAAAATAAAGTTGGTGGAAAAGCTCAGCAGGTCTGGCAGCATCTGCGAAGGAAAAAACAGAGTTAACATTTGGGTCCGGTGACCCTTCCTCAGTCACCGGACCCAAAACATTTGAAAATAGGAGGTGCTACTATTTCGCGCATTACTTTTTAAACTGAGAGGAAGATTATATAGAACTTCAGAAGGTCATGGAAAGTGGGTGAAGAACATGGATAGGTGGCAGATGAAATTCAAGAATAAGCAGAGTGAGAACATAGAACATAGAGCAGTAACAGTACAGGAACAATCCCATCACGTCTGTGCCAACTATGATGCTATTCTAAACTAATCCTGTCCCTAAGCAACTTCTCCAATAATTTTCCTATCATTGATGTTAGGCACACCAGCCTTTAATTTCCCGGATTATTTCTGTTGCCCTAAAAAAAGGAACAACATTTACTATTCTCCAGTCTACTGGGACCTAACCTGTGGCTAAAGAGGGTACAAAGATCTCTGTCAAGAGGTAGCGCAACTTGGTAGGAAGAGCATGAAGAGATGAAACATAATGAAAAGTAGAAGTCTAAAGAGGGTACAGGAGCATAAACTCTCCCATGTCTTTGCATCCTACACCACATACCAGGCCTTGTTATCACATAGTCTGCCATTACACACTACTTATTGTTAGTCACTAACAGACCCATTAACAGCTATTCACCCTTCTAGCCAGATCACTATCCTTTGTCTATCCTTTGTCAACAACAATGGAGCAGAATTCCAGAGGTGTGTTGAGAACTGACTGCCCTTAACATCAAGGCTACATTTGACTGAGTGTGGCATCAAGAGCTTTGACCAAAGCTGGAGTCAATAGGAATTGGAAAAAACTCTCCACTGATTGGAGTCACACCAGACACATAGGAGGATGCTTGTAATTATTGGAGGTCAGTTGTCTCAGCTCCAGGGCATCTCTGCAGGAGCTCTTCAGGACAGTTTCCAAGGCCCAAGCATCTTGAGTTGCTTCATCAATGACCTCTTCCATCATGAGGTCAATCATGGGGATGTTCACTGAGGACTCCACAGTGTTCAACACCATTTGTGACTCCTTAGATACTGAAGCAGTCCATGCTCAAATGCAACAAAATCTAGACAATATCCGTGTTTGGGCTGACAAATGGCATGTCAATGATATTACTGAATCCCCACTATCAACATCTTGGGTGTTACCATTGATCAAAAACTATGGCTGCAAGACTCCTCAGAGGCTAGGAATCTCACTTCCTGATTCCCAAAGCCTGTTCAGCACCTTCAAGGCATAGATCAGGATTGTGATGGAGTACTCCTCAATTGCTTGGATGAGTGCAGCTACAACAACGCTCAAGAAGCTCAATATCATCCAGGACAAAGCTTCGCGCTTGATTGGCATCACATCCACAAATGGGGCAGCATGCTGGCTGATTGCTTAGCACTGCTTCATCACAGCGTCAGGGACCCAGGTTTGATTCGAACCTTGGGTGACTGTCTGTCTGGACTTTGCACATTCTCCCCATGTCTGTGTGGGTTTCCTCTGGGCCCTCTGGTTTTCTCCCTCAGTCCAAAGATGTGCGGGTTGGGTGGATTAGCCATGCTAAATTACTGCATAGTGTCTAGGGATGTGCAGGCTGGGTGGATTAACCGTAGGAAATGCAGGGTTACTGGAATAAGGTGGGATGCTCTTCGGAGGGTCATTGCAGATCCGATGGGCTGAATGGCTTTTTCTGCACTGTAGTAAATCCATGATTCAGGCCCTCCATCACTGGTGCTCAGTAGCAGCAGTGCACTGCTTTGATAGGATACACTGCAGGAATTCACCAGGCTGCTCAGATGGCACCTTTAAATGATAAGACCAATAATATCCAGAAGGACAAGGGCAACAGATAAATGGGAACACCACCACCCCCCTGCAAGTTCCCCTCCAAGCCAGTTACCATCCCAACTTGGAAATATATCGCCATACCTTCAGTGTCACTGAGTCAAAATCCGGAAGCTCCTCCCCTCATGGCATTATGGGTCTACCTACACTAAATGGTTCAAGAAGGCAGCTCACCACCACCTTCTCAAGGGCATCTAGGGATGGGCAACAAGTGCTGGCCAGCCAGCGATGTCCATATCCCGTGAGTGAATTTAAAAGAAAATATAACTGTTCAGGCAGTTGCTTTGAACAATTCTTTCAGAATCTGAAATGTGCCTCTTCGGGGGAAATAAATGTGTCATTGTATTCTTCAATGTGAATAGAATAAATCCGTGGTTTAAAAAAAAATAGAAAAAAAAATTCACCAGTTTCTCACCTATCTTCCAGAATCCACAGATGTACCTTTGGAGATGCTTTCAGTTTATTTTAATTTTTTTTTTCTATTCACTCATGGGACAAAGACATCGCTGGCTGGCCAACATTTTTTATTGCTCATCATTAGTTGCCCTTGAGAGGGTGTTGGTGAACTGAATGATGGAAAATGTTATTTTTGAATAACACAAATGACGATGAAGGTTATAATGGCATATATGGGTATAATGACTGCATGCACATTTTTTCCAAGAGTCCATGGTGACTAAAGTAATTCTTTATTACAATTTCCTACTGCACTTGACAAATTTTTTGTTGTACTCCAAAAACTAACTGAACGAACAGCTTTAGGATGATTGGCAAAACATCAGAGGTGGCACAAGGAAGAGTACATTAATGTAAAGAGTTGTTAAGGTTTGGAATGTACAGTCTGGTTGATTGAATTGATTTCCATCACTCATTTTTGTTTTCCTAAATGAGAGAAGGTCCTTGTTTCATCCTGGACTGCTATCCTTGACAACTATAGACAGTTGTTTAGCTGTTGTCTCCCAGCCTTTGGAGAGAGAGAAGAGGTCAGCCCAAAGTCAGAACAGGAAATGAACCCGTGCCATTAACATTCCTTTTGCACCACACTCACAATCTAATCAACTGAACTAACTGGTCCCTGATGAATCAGTGGTAGCTTTCAAAAGGGACTTGGAGAAGCATTTGAAGGAGAAAAACTTGAGGGAGAAATGGGAAGAGTTTGGGATGGGGTGAACTGATTACTGGGGCAGATTCAATTGAACATGTAGGTTTTCTGTGTTTTACTATTCCATGTATCTGCGATGTGGTTTTTTTTTTGCAATTATTGAAACAAAAGTTTTGCCTTAAAAGGTGAAAATCATTCGTTCTTAATTTTCTTTCCTGTTAGAATGAAGTCAAGATCATCTTCACCTCCCAACTATGCCCATCTTAATAAATCTGCACCTGTTCACGTTCATCTTCAAAAGCCCAAGTTATTGCCTTCTGTTGTGGAAGTAGGTATAAATAGTTACAATTGATTAATAAAAATAATCAAAACCAGAACATTAGTAGCACAGGGTCCAGAGTTGACATGAGGAAACCATTTTTCCCAATCTGACAAGTTGTTGTGATCTGGAAATCACTGCCTAAAAGGATAGTGCAGATAAAAAGACCTGGATAAATACTTCACCATTGGGAAAACAGAGGAAGCGGGGAATGGGGTTAATTGGCAGTTTCTATTAAAGTCTAAACACAAGCACATTGAGTCAAATAGCCTCTTTCTGAGCTATGTAATGTTATTGTTTAATTAACATAACAGATTTGGAAAAATTATGGTTTTTGCATTGACTTTTTAAAAAGCCTTTAAAAGAGTACTGGGCAGGATAAGATTTGGATTATGGACTAGGGGCAGAAGTAGCAAATTGTATTAAAAGGTCCGAAACTTTGACCATTTGGAAGAGTAACGCCTCCAAACATGGCATCGATTGAGAGACAGGAAAAGAGGAATAGCATGTAGAAAGAGTTTGAGATGATTTTTTTCATTATCCTTTCAAGAGATGTGAACATTACTGGCAAGTCCATTATATGTTACTTGTTCCTAATTGCCCTTGAAGATATTTCAAAGGGTAGTTAAAAGTCAGTTATGTTGCTATGGGTCTGGAGTCACATTGTAGGTCAGACCAGTTAAGGACAACAGTATCCTTACCCAATGGACATCATTGAAGCAGATGGTGTTTTTTATTTGCCACAGTCATCTCGTGAACATTATTAGTTTTATTTCCGGATTTATAAATTGAATTTAAATTTCATTATTCACCATGGTAGGATTTGAACCCATGTTCACGGAGCTTAGGGCTTGGGTAAGTCAAGGCACAGCTAGCAGTTGAAGGGCAACTAAAATTGGGCATGTTGATGAGAGAAGAATTAGTGAAGCAGATATCCTTGAGGGACTGGAGTAGATCACCGAGAGAAGAGGGACCAGGCCATTGAGGGATTTGCAAACAAGGACAAGAAATTTAGATTCAAAATATTGCTTAACCACAGGCTAGTGTAGAATAGCTAGCACTTTAATAGTTTGCCTGCAAAACAGTAGGTGTTTAGCAAATCTATGATACAGAGACTAAAATTTTCCGATCATTATTCTCAAGGTACATTTCCTTCCAGTTATCTCGCATGCAAAAAAGAAATCGCTCAACTCATTCAACGAGAGCGAACAGAACTGTGAAGGGGAAAGCTAAGGGTTGTAGGGACCCCCATACTTCAACCTTTGGCCAAAATTACAAACAAAAGGTGGGTGTATCATGTCAGAATTGTAGTATTCTCATGAATGTGGACCTTCTAAATTATTTACCTGTATATTCGGGGTGTAAAATTATTTTAACAAAAGCAAATTGAACCAATTATTTTTGTATTGAATAAAATAAAACTTTAAGAGCAACTTTAAATATGTATGGGAGAACTTCATTTTTCCAAAGCCTATTTGCAGTGGCCGGTGTACCCTCATCAGTTTGTGGAGTGCAATGCCACTGCTGGTAATGGACTAAAGCAATGGTACCAATTGTGAGCATCCAGCTTTTCTTTTCTGGAATATTAATGTTCACAGCTTGTTTCTGTGGGGTATTTTGCAATGAAAGGTTCTGTGTGATACAGTGCAACCTTTTGTCAAATGGGTAACTTCTCGGAAGCTGACATAAGGATGAGGGGTAGTTTTAAGCAGTGAGAACATAGCTGTGGCTAGAGAAATATAAGAAGGAAGTTTCAGAAAAACAAGGCGCATGCAAAGAGGCTACTAGTAATTCGTAAGCTGCACTCTGGAATGGGGGAGTAGGAGTAAGCAGTATATTGTGGTAATTGCTCAGATCAGGGTCAGAAACCCACACTGACTTGTCAAAAAAATACACACACTTGCATTTTGATCAGTCCTGCCTTGAAATTTCCTGGACAAGAGCCTTCTCCTGTGAACGAGCAATTACAGGGACACTTGCAGCCATAAACAGAATGGAAACTGCATCCTCTTTTTCAGCTGTGTGTTCCTTACTGTGTAATTCAAATGTCCTGCAGCCACTTTGACCTTTGCTCAGGAGCAGTCAATATGTTAGGGACATGTAGGGGAAGGCTGCTGTGTAAGCTTTTTGAAAAGTTAGGGTGGGTTTGAGGTGGGGCTGGGCAGAAGGAGCAGGAGTTTGTTAGGTCTGGTCTGATTTACTTGTGGTGGTGAGTCAGGGTTTTTAATTAGTTACAAAAACAGAAGTTGCTGGAAAAGCTCAGCAGATCTGGCAGCATCTGTAAAGGGAAAAAACGGGGTTAATGTTTCGGGTCCGGTGACCCTTCCTCAGAACTGATGGTGGCTGGGAAGACGTCAGTTTATATGCAGAAAAAAGGGACGGGAATGGGGTAGGGAGTAAATGATAGGATAGAGCCTAAAGAGAGAGAAGAGCAGTTGGACAGACAAAGAATTGATAACTATCTGGCTGGGAAGGTGAATAGTTAGTTGTTAATGGGGACTGTTAGTGACTAACAACAGGGGGTGTGTAGTGGCAGGCTATGTGGTAACAAGGCCTGCTGTGTGGGGTAGGGGGCTGGAACATGGGAGAGTTAAGGCCCTAAAATTATTGAACATAAAACTATTTACTTAGTTACTGAGGAGTCGGTTTTAAAATCCTCCATCGTTTCTTGGGTAACTAACTTGCACGTAAGTGAGTCAGAACCTTCAAAATCCAATATGTTAACTCCAAATTGGGGACTTCAGTGAGGGTTCCAAACACCAGATTATTGTCCAAGGTAATTTCAGTTTCCCACACAATTCCTGAGGAGCCAGCTTCAAAAGGATTTCTGCTTGCAAAACTCCATCTGAACTTATTGCCAGGTATTTTTACTTTGCATCCCAGTTACTGAAGTAAGGACACTGTTGAGAGAATAAACTGGTGTTCAATCTGAGGGTCACCCCACCTGAGGCAAGGGGAGAGATTGAGAAGGACAGTCCTTCAGTCAGTGAGGGAATTGAACCCACACAGTTAATGTAACTCTACAGTACAAACCAGCCATCCAGACAATGAGCTAACTGACCCCCTCTAGCTGCTGCATTAAACAATATAATGTTCCCTTTACAGAACAGATTCACTGTATAATTACATTCAGCATAAATGTTCTATATTGCAAAATCTGAAGAACAGGGCTTGATAAATTTATTGTGTGCTCAGTATTAAAATTGCCTCTTAGGGAGTTTAGGATAAGTATATCACAAGACCGCACTCATTTTCTGGATGCAATAAAATGACTGATGATTCCACAGGGAGGCCATCTGGGGAATGATTGAAGAGGCTGGGGCACTGCTTTTTCTAGAATGAAGAAGGCTGAGGAATGACCTGATAGATTATGAAAGTGTTTTACAGGGCTGATGTAAAGAATATGTTTCCACTTATAATAGGGGCAAGAATTAGGGGCCATAAATATAAGATAATTACTAATAAATCCAATAGGTAGTTCAGACAAGCTCAGAGCATGGTTAGACTGCCATCTGCCCTGACTACTTGTGTGGCTCAGTGTCATATTTTATTTTGTGATGCTCCTGTGCAGCACCTTGGGATGTTTTATTACATACATTACCCAGATGGCACAGTGGCTCAGTGGTTAGCACTGCTGCCTCACAGTGCTGGGAATTGGGTTTGATTCTAGCCTTGGTGACTGTACATGTGGAGTTTGCATGTTCTCCCTGTGTTTGTGTGGGTTTTCTCCAAGTGCTTTGATTTCCTTTCACTGTCCAAAGATGTGCAGGCTAGGTGGATTAACCACGGGAAATGAGCAGTCATAGGGATGGGATGGGATAGGATAGGATGGGGGGTGGGTCTGGGTGGGATACTCTTTAGAGCGTTGATGTGGACTCTGTAGACTGAATGACCTGCTCCCACATTGTAGGAGTTCGTGGTCATTGAATCTAAGCATGTAGTGAAAAGTGTGCTATTATTTTTATCTAGAAATTCTGTAAAATTGCTTGAGTGTACTTTGGAAAGGGCACATAATGCCATCTCTAGCCATCTCCATTTAAGCTTCTCTTGCGTATAAAAGTTTTAAATATATATAACATATATTTATATAGCATGACATGCTTAATCCTTTATGATACTAGGGGCCAGCACAAAGGTTCTTGATCACCATCAGTAGGGAAGAAACTAACTGTGCAGAAATCCATTAATAAGGAATGCGACATTAATCAGCAAATGAACTGGTCTAGATATCCAATCAGCAGCTCAATAGAAGACTTGGAAAGCGTGAGAAATGAAATAAGTTGTTTTTATTGACAATATTGGTTTTCGATAATGTGATCTCATTGATCCCAGTACTCTGAGTTATTAAGTTGCTCTTTCCACCTGAGTCTGTGAATAGGGAACAGTTTGTTGCTGGGCATATCAAATGGCTGGAGGGTTGAATCACAAATGCAGTGAGTATGGAGGCAGCTTATATATAGTTTTCCAAAGAGGTAGGAGAGGCGCTAAATGAATATTTTTCGTCAGTATTCACAGAGGAAAAAGACAATGTTGTCGAGGAGAATACTGAGATACAGGCTATTAGTCTAGACGGGATTGAGGTTCATAAGGAGGAGGTGTTAGCAATTCTGGAAGGTGTGAAAATAGATAAGTCCCCTGGGCCGGATGGGATTTATCCTAGGATTCTCTGGGAAGCCAGAGAGGAGATTGCAGAGCCTTTGGCTTTGATTTTTATGTCGTCAATGTCTTCAGGGATAGTGCCAGAAGACTGGAGACTAGCAAATGTTGTCCCCTTGTTCAAGAAGGGGAGTAGAGACAACCCTGGTAATTATAGACCAGTGAGCCTTACTTCGGTTGTGGGTAAAGTGTTGGAAAGGATTATAAGAGATAGGATTTATAATCATCTAGAAAGGAATAATTTGATTAGGGATAGTCAACACGGTTTTGTGAAGGGTAGGTCGTGCCTCACAAACCTTATTGAGTTCTTCGAGAAGGTGACCAAACAGGTGGATGAGGGTAAAGCGGTTGATGTGGTGTATATGGATTTCAGTAAAGCGTTTGATAAGGTTCCCCATGGTAGGCTATTGCAGAAAATACGGAGGCATGGGATTGAGGGTGATTTAGCGGTTTGGATCAGAAATTGACTAGCTGTAAGAAGACAGAGGGTGGTGGTTGATGGGAAATGTTCATCCTGGAGTTCAGTTACTAGTGGTGTACCTCAAGGATCTGTTTTGGGGCCACTGCTGTTTGTCATTTTTATAAGTGACCTGGATGAGGACGTAGAAGGATGGGTTACTAAATTTGCGGATGACACCAAAGTCGGTGGAATTGTGGATAGTGCGGAAGGATGTTGCAGGTTACAGAGGGACATAAATAAACTGCAGAGCTGGACTGAGAGGTGGTAAATGGAGTTTAATGCGGAAAAGTGTGAGGTGATTCACTTTGGAAGGAGTAACAGGAATACAGAGTACAGGGCTAATGGTAAGATTCTTGGTAGTGTGGATGAGCAGAGAGATCTCGGTGTCCATGTGCATAGATCACTGAAAGTTGCCACCCAGGTTGATAGGGTTGTTAAGAAGGCGTACGGTATGTTAGGTTTTATTGGTAGAGGGATTGAGTTTCGGAGCCATGAGGTCATGTTGCAGCTGTACAAAACTCTGGTGCGGCCGCACTTGGAGTATTGCGTACAGTTCCGGTCGCAGCATTATAGGAAGGATGTGGAAGCATTGGAAAGGGTTCAGAGGAGATTTATCAGGATGTTGCCTGGTATGGAGGGAAGGTCTTATGAGGAAAGGCTGAGGGTCTTGAGGCTGTTTTCGTTAGAGAGAAGACTTAATAGAGACATACAAGATGATCAGAGGATTAGATAGGGTGGACAGTGGGAGCCTTTTTCCTCGGATGGTGATGGCTAGCACGAGGGGACATAGCTTTAAATTGAGGGGTGATAGATATAGGACAGATGTCAGAGGTAGGTTCTTTACTCAGAGAGTAGTAAGGGCATTCCAC